ACTATTATATATATATATACATATATATAAATATATCAAGTGTATCATTTTATAAATAATGCCTGTTGGTTAATTAATAATTATAAAAAAAGGAAATCCTTATCTGTCGACCAACAGTCTTGATATATAAATATTTGCGTCATATATGGTAACACGAGCTCAACACAACGTCGTTTGTAACCAAAAATGGCTTCCCGCCTGAATCGGTCGCGCAAAATCTTGACCATTAATGTTACTCATTTCGGAAGTCTGAATTGACTTAAAGTAGTAATCCAATAACATTTGTCACACCCAAAATGAAATCCGTTACTGAAAACAGGATTTTACTGCTGTGTCACTACTGTCGCTGTCATTTCTGCCCGCCATCACGTCTTAAAGTTTACAAAATAAACTGCCTCGTTTTCAAAACTATCACGTAATGATATCAGCGTTAAAGAGAGGGGGTTCACGAAACCAAAAAAGGTGGTCAAGATGGCTATCGACTGTGAACATCGGGATAACATAGAAACTTTAATTAAAATATATAAAACACGTACAATCAATTACAATATAGATATTTTACTATGATGTCCCTTTTAAGTGCAACACAGGACTATCTAGCGCTGTCAGTACCTGACTTTTACCCTGTGATGTCAACAGACAGCAGCTATGTCCCGGATGTGAACGGACGTACGTACTCAGCACTCCGACATCAAACGACATAGTAGATCCCCTTCCAACGGTACACAGGCTCCATTAAGTGGATGCATCTTTGTACTATCTAGTATCCGCCCTCACTAAAACACAGACTTTTTAAAAGATCCCTTATATGGCTGATTAGGGGCTAGGTTCGTGATACAAGTAATTGTGGTTTTGTGTCAGAGGTCGATTTGTTTCAAACAAATTTTAAACACTTGACTCTGTATGACCTAGATTTTGCCTTATAGATAACTAATGGTGATTTTAATTTCCTTATTACGTTTGAGTACACACTAATAAAACTTTAGAACTGGAGACAAATGTACTGTAATTGTTAAGCACGTCTGCAATAACACATTGATGAGTTATGTTTTACAAAATTTCTGATTCTTTGTTGTTGTTTTCTGGTTTGTATTATACCGATACAATTTATTTGTTTTCGAAATCGAGCACTGAATACAGAGTTGATATTAATTCTATTTTTGAATTCGAGCACTGAATACACAGTTAATATTAATTGTATTTTCATTTTGATATATTTGGGTCACATACTTGGTATTTTATTTCAAGTTTTCCGTTAATACATCAGTCACACCACCGACATACTTCTGACTAAAACATCAGTGGCTCCATCTTGACGTTATATTAAGAATTTGAACTATTTAGTAGAGTACTAAAATGATTGTTTCTGTAGAATACACAACTGATTGGTATGCATATAAATATAGAGCTGAATAGCTTTAGGGTAGAGTAGAGCTGGGGCTGAATAATGTTTGGTTACAGCAGAAATTGAGTTAGATAATGTTTGGTTACAGCAGAAATAGAGTTAGATAATGTTTGGTTACAGCAGAAATAGAGTTAGATAATGTTTGGTTACAGCAGAAATAGAGTTAGATAATGTTTGGTTACAGCAGAAATAGAGTTAGATAATGTTTGGTTACAGCAGATATGGAGATAGATAATGTTTGGTTACAGCAGATATGGAGATAGATAATGTTTGGTTACAGCAGAAATAGATTTAAATGTTTGATTACAGCAGAAAGAGAGTTAGATAATGTTTGGTTACAGCAGATATGGAGATAGGTAATGTTTGATTACAGCAGAAATAGAGTAATACAATGTTTGGATACAGCAGAAATAGATTTAGATAATGTTTGGATACAGCAGAAATAGATTTAGATAATGTTTGGATACAGCAGAAATAGATTTAAATGTTTGGTTACAGCAGATATGGAGATAGATAATGTTTGGTTACAGCAGAAATAGATTTAGATAATGTTTGGTTACAGCAGATATGGAGATAGGTAATGTTTGATTACAGCAGAAATAGAGTTATACAATGTTTGGATACAGGAGAAATAGATTTAGATAATGTTTGGTTACAGCAGAAATAGATTTAGATAATGTTTGGTTACAGCAGATATGGAGATAGGTAATGTTTGATTACAGCAGAAATAGAGTTATACAATGTTTGGATACAGCAGAAATAGAGTTAAACAATGTTTAGTTACAGCAGAAATAGAGTTAAACAATGTTTGGTTACAGCAGAAATTGAGTTAAACAATGTTTGGTTACAGCAGAAATTGAGTTAGATAATGTTTGTGGATAGTAGAGATGAAGTTGTGTAATGATATGGTTCAGTACAGACGGGGTTGTATAATGCTATGGTTAAGTAGAGATCGAGTTGTGTAATGATATGGTTCAGTACAGATGGGGTTGTATAATGATATGGTTCAGTGGAGATGGAGTTGTATAATGATATGGTTCAGTGGAGATGAAGTTGTATAATGATATGGTTCAGTGGAGATGGAGTTGTATAATGATATGGTTCAGTGGAGATGGAGTTGTATAATGATATGGTTCAGTGGAGATGAAGTTGTATAATGATATAGTTCAGTAGAGATCGAGTTGTGTAATGATATGGTTCAGTACAGATGGGGTTGTATAATGCTATGGTTAAGTAGAGATCAAGTTGTGTAATGATATGGTTCAGTACAGATGGGGTTGTATTATGATATGGTTCAGTGGAAATGGAGTTGTATAATGATAATGTTCAGTGGAGATGAAGTTGTATAATGATATAGTTCAGTAGAGATCGAGTTGTGTAATGATATGGTTCAGTACAGATGGGGTTGTATAATGATATGGTTCAGTACAGATGGGGTTGTATAATGATATGGTTCAGTAGAGGTGGGGTTGTATAATTATATGGTTCAGTAGAGGTGGGGTTGTATAATTATATGGTTAAGTACAGATGGGGTTGTATAATGATATGGTTCAGTGGAGACGGAGTTGTATAATGATATGGTTCAGTAGAGGTGGGGTTGTATAATTATATGGTTCAGTAGTGGTGGGGTTGTATAATTATATGGTTAAGTACAGATGGGGTTGTATAATGATATGGTTCAGTGGAGATGGAGTTGTATAATGATATGGTTCAGTAGAGGTGGGGTTGTATAATTATATGGTTAAGTACAGATGGGGTTGTATAATGATATGGTTCAGTGGAGATGAAGTTGTATAATGATATGGTTCAGTAGAGGTGGGGTTGTATAATTATATGGTTCAGTGGAGATGGAGTTGTATAATGATATGGTTCAGTAGAGGTGGGGTTGTATAATTATATGGTTCAGTGGAGATGGAGTTGTATAATGATATGGTTCAGTAGAGGTGGGGTTGATAATTATATGGTTCAGTAGAGGTGGGGTTGTATAGTTATATGGTTCAGTGGAGATGGAGTTGTATAATGATATGGTTCAGTGGAGATGGAGTTGTATAATCATATGGTTCAGTACAGATGGGGTTGTATAATTATATGGTTCAGTAGAAGTGGAGTTGTATAATGATATGGTTCAGTAGAGGTGGGGTTGTATAATTATATGGTTAAGTACAGATGGGGTTGTATAATGATATGGTTAAGTACAGATGGGGTTGTATAATGACATGGTTCAGTGGAGATGGAGTTGTATAATGATATGGTTCAGTAGAGGTGGGGTTGTATAATTATATGGTTCAGTAGAGGTGGGGTTGTATAATTATATGGTTCAGTAGAGGTGGGGTTGTATAATTATATGGTTCAGTAGAGGTGGGGTTGTATAATTATATGGTTCAGTGGAGATGGGGTATAATTATATTCGAGTATGGAGATGCAATTGAATAATATTAAGTTAGAGTTGAGGCGGTCGTTGGAAAAAGCAGAGGTAGGGTGAGCTCTTTAGTAGGATATTATTTCGGTAGAGAAGGGTTTGTGTATATTTTTTCAAAAATAAACATCTGCCTCACATTGTCATCCGGATAGTACATTATGTTTGTGGCTTACCACTGGCTTCCTTACCCGAATGTACGGAACAACGGTAGCATTGTTGATAATGTCACTCTCTGACACCTAGGTCAATAACCGGAAGTGGTACAGAGACAAGTTGTGTATCAAGCTTACGGTGGCAGAAACGTTTATAAACTTTCGGAAAAAAAGTAATGAATTCTTAATATCTAAAGTATACAAAATATCACTCCATTTTTTTCTTAAATATATATATATCATTATAGTAAGGAACCATATAATTATACAACCCCATCTCTGCTGAACCATGTCATTAACTAGTTGTAACTCCATATTGTTTCCTAACTAGATATCACTTCATATTGTTTCCTAACTAGATATAACTCCATATTGTTTCCTAACTAGATATAATTTCATATTGTTTCCTATCTAGATATAACTCCATATTGTTTCCTAACTAGATATCACTCCCTATTGTTTCCTAACTAGATATCACTCCCTATTGTTTCCTAACTAGATATCACCCCATATTGTTTCCTAACTAGATATCACCCCATATTGTTACATAACTATCACCCTATGGCACACCATGTTTCTTTCGTTGTATTATCTAAAACACTCCAGTGTATTTATTATACCTTTAGTACTCCGATTGTTTGTGTTCGCTTTAAACTTTTTATCACTATTCATTTTTACTGCAAAATGGGGCTAGTTTCTGGTTAGCAGTTTTGGTTTATTTTCAAAATGTTTTGTATATAATTATTTTGTAGATTATCTTTATTATCAAAATGTTTTGTATATATATATATTTTGTAGATTGCTTTTTGTGTTTATCTTTATTATAATTTTATTGCCACCTCAACAGTATAATTTTATTGCCTCGGAAGTCAGTTAAATGTAAATACTCCTTTTCGTAAATAAATGTTATCTACAAACCGGAAGTTGTGATGTATCACCATTCGTGCATTATATGTGTCACACTAAATTTTAGAGTATATGAGTACGTGTGTTCACGGGGACACTTTATACATACCGCTCACTGAGACAGTCTAGGATAATTGTGTTCTACAATAGATTATTGTTTGTGAGTTACACAGACAAGGTAAGTAAGGTGGAAGTTGTTTGTTTATTCATACAGGTGTAAACATTAAACTAAACAGGAACACCATGGTATCAATTATGTAATGTAGTAATGAAATATGTGAAGATAGATCTTCTGCATACTTATAAATTCTCTTCAATTTTATGTATACTGTTTACAATTCATATTTTTTCTGAATTATCAATATCATGTAGCGTCTTCGATATAATGAAATCTGTTAGCAATCTGATTAACATGTAATCTTAGGTTCCAATACCCTAAGCCATGTTTAAAAGTAACTTTCCAACTTACAAAACGAGTTCTTTATTACATTTATGTCTGTTTATGCAGACGTATTTTGTGGATCGGTGTCTATCGGGTGACGCTAAATCTAAATGCTGAATTTTTAAATACATGTTATGCACTGTGATTTCTTGTGCCATAAGTGTTTACTCCGTGTCACTTTCAAGGTAAACCTGGCTGAGGTATTTAACGACTGGTTAAAGTTACCTTCCTAATACAGTATACCGTACACTCACATAATGTACCTGTCTTGGTAGATAATGATACTCGCTTGGATTGTAACACACAAGTGGCAGCCATATTTTCGGATTTTTTTCCTTATACATATCGTAACACATGGAAAAAAATCTTGTATACATGTTATGATATACGATTGTTTAAATGTTGACAAAATTAAATATTTCGGACAATGATTAATTGTTGAAATATTCGGAATGTTTTCAAACCGATACATTTTTTTTGTGTGTGGAGAAACCTTGTTTACTTTATATCCATTCAAAACCGTCAGTTGTACGATGAGTATTTGTATGTGTGCGTCACGCATGGTCTATTCTACAAACTACTGGAGCGAGAATCAATGAGATTCAGTTAATTTACATTGGAAAGGAGATACCTATGTCAGTATGACACAGCTGTATGGTACAAATCTCTGACCCGAAGAATTGTTTACGAAGATTCAGAGTTAGTCATATGTGTAAAGATATTTCCTCATATATCACGGAATACGACCACCTGGAATGCGAGGACTTACCTTTTGTCAAGTCTGATAACAAGTGTCATCGCATTATAAGTGTTACACTCACCGGAAGTGCTTCAGTAGGAGTCACTTCCGGTAGTTATCGTTCTCACGTAGGTAACTGTGCGTGATGTATAACGTCTTTCTCTACGCTGTTTATATATTCACACCTGATGATACATGGCATACATTCAACAGTATCATAAAGTTACCAAAACCTTTTAAAAACCATCCCAAATATCTAAAACAATAGATGAAAATTTTGATGTAATTTGAAACATTTGAAATTATAATGAGTACACGTTTTTTGAAACATGTCTAGGCGTTGCTATTGTTATGTTACAACAAACATTGGGTGTGTAGTGCTGATGGGTCGACACATTTAAACAAGCAGGAAGGTCAATATTAAACTAATACCGATTCTTTGAAATTGCTTCTTGTTCCTTGCAGTGTTAACTAAAATGTCCACAGACAACAAAAACACACATTGAACATTGTCAATTTTCATCCCTTATCTGTTCATTTCTTATAGTGCTCTGCCATTGTCCATCATGTTTAAATCATGCGTTTTCTTAACAGTCTTTACTTGGAATTCCGTGCCAGTCTGTTACAGAAACTAATTAAGTGTTCAACATTAGCAAAGTGTGATTAACAATGCAGTTCCATACAAAGAAATCTATATGTTCACTAATGATGATTTGGGTGGTATTCCGACAATAGTGCTTTTATTAACTAAAATCAACAGCTCATATTTTGATATCTGTTGTACACCATTATATCTCACAAAACTGTACATTAGAATTAGTACTCATAATTCGAATAAACGAAAATCCAATTAAAATAATATCTTAAACGAAGTAAATACTTGTAATCCATGTTTGCTTCATGAAGTTTTTGTTAGAGGACTGTTTAAAAAGTTGTTTTCACGTGGTAGCCATTAAAAATATACTGATATAGATATGTTTGTCATTATCATTTCTTTATCTTCTTCATAATACTTTAATTCTTACTTTTTTCAGATGTCTCAACTTTCAGTCACTAATATGACTCCTGGTGAATTGATGACGGGACAATATAACTCCGACCTTGACCCTAATGTGTCAGTCTCCATTGACGACCTTAACCACGATGAGGTTATGGAGCGGATCGGTGCGATCATAATCGTAGGCTTCCTATCATTCGTCGGGGTTGTGGGTAATTTGCATGTGCTATATATATATGGAACGAAATTCAAGAAAACAAATCAGCGAATATTTATTTTATTTCTCGGTTACCTGGATCTGTTCACGTGTGTGGTGGGGATGCCGTTTATCATATCGGATCTGTTACTGCCGTTGAAATTTACATCCGGAATCGCCTGTAAAGTTTTACGCTTTACAAATTATTTCACAGGAGGAAGTTCGGCTTTTCTTCTCGTCGTCATAGCCATTGAACGATACAGGAAAATATGTCATCCATTGGAATCACAGATGACGATCAAAGGTGCCAAAGTAACCAGCGTTCTAGCTTTAGGTCTAGCCATTCTGTTGTCTTGGCCGGCGGCCATTTTGTATGGTTTCAGTACTGTGGACACAGGTTATCGGAACCTGAAGGGGGCGGCGTGTTACATAAATGATGCCTTCATTACGACAAAATACACAACTTATTACAATGCCGTCATCATATTGATCATCATCATAGCAAATATTGTCCTGATAGTCCTCTACATCAAGGTCGTTCGTCGTATCTACCAACAAAAGGCGTTCAGGACCGACAACAAGCATCAAATTTCCAGGGCCAGAAAGAAGAGTTTCGAACCTGGTCAAACATGCAAGGTGGTGACGAACTCCGAATTCCAGTTCTGTAGTATGGACATGCTAAAAGCAAGCCATGAAGATCTGACAACATGCAGTGCTTTGGACGAGTCGGTCAACGCACTGGACGATAGCTCAGAAAACAGTAAGCATGGCAACAGACTCACCAAACCGGGAAATAGGGCAAAAAGCAAGAAAGTCAGTCACAGAAGTGCCCGTGTGACAATGATGTTGTTTATCATCACTGTGGTGTACTTTGTTAGTTTTCTTCCACATCTGGTGCTAAAGATCCTCGCCGACGCCAAGAAAGACTTTTTACCTAATTTGGATTACACAGGCACGTTCATGTTTTATATGTTTCTGTATACTATCTTTATCAATAATATGGCCAATCCTATCATATATGGTTTTTGTGATTCAAAATTCATGGAGCATGTGCGTGCAATGTATCGGCGGCCATGTTTGAGTGACAAGAGGTAGTTTAAACTGAAATCCAGAAATTAGACTTCAAAGGGTTGATGATACTCAAATATAATGCAAACTACAACACAGAACATTGTGTAGTCACTTTAACCGCCTGTTTGTTGTCACTATTATCGTGAACCTTATCTGAGTATTCAGCTGTTCGAGACTGTAAACACAATGACCAGAGTGCGTCTTTGTATCCATCCAAACGTCCGTGACTTTTGCAGCGGAATAGCTTTTAAGTACAATCAAGATAATTCCATTTTCTGTAATTTGTTATAAAACTGAAATATGTTGTTTTGTTAATAAATTGATCATCAGTTTAGGAAAAGATATGTATATTATAATTACACATCGTTGATACCAACTTGGACTGTAGTCCATTCCATGACTAGCCAGCTGTGGTCCATTCCCTTGTAGGATGTGTAAGTCTATTCCATGACTAGTCAGCTGTGGTCCATTCCCTTGTAGGATGTGTAAGTCTATTCCATGACTAGTCAGCTGTGGTCCATTCCCTTGTAGGATGTGTAAGTCTATTCCATGACTAGTCAGCTGTGGTCCATTCCCTTGTAGGAGGCGTAACTCCATTCCATGACTAGTTAGCTGTGGTCCATTCCCTTGTAGGTGGTTCGAGTCCATTCCATGACTATCCAGCTGTAGTCCATTCCCTTGTAAGAGGTGCGAGTCCATTCCATGACTAGTCAGCTGTGGTCCAATCCCTTGTAGGAGGCGTGACTCCATTCCATGACTAGCCAGCTGTGGTCCATTCCCTTGTAGGAAGCGTGACTCCATTCCATGACTAGTCAGCTGTGGTCCATTCCCTTGTAGGATGTGTAAGTCTATTCCATGACTAGTCAGCTGTGGTCCATTCCCTTGTAGGAGGCGTGACTCCATTCCATGACTAGTCAGCTGTGGTCCATTCCCTTGTAGGAAGCGTGACTCCATTCCATGACTAGTCAGCTGTGGTCCATTCCCTTGTAGGATGTGTGAGTCCATTCCATGACTAGTCAGCTGTGGTCCATTCCCTTGTAGGAGGCGAGACTCCATTATATGACTAGCCAGCTGTGGTCCATTCCCTTGCAGGAAGCGTGACTCCATTCCATGACTAGTCAGCTGTGGTCCATTCCCTTGTAGGAAGCGTGACTCCATTCCATGACTAGTCAGCTGTGGTCCATTCCCTTGTAGGATGTGTAAGTCTATTCCATGACTAGTCAGCTGTGGTCCATTCCCTTGCAGGAGGCGTGACTCCATTCCATGACTAGTCAGCTGTGGTCCATTCCCTTGTAGGAGGCGTGGCTCCATTCCATGACTAGTCAACTGTGGTCCATTCCTTTGTAGGAGGCGTGACTCCATTCCATGACTAGTCAGCTGTGGTCCATTCCCTTGTAGGAGGTGCGAGTGCGAGTCCATTCCATGACTAGTCAGCTGTGGTCCATTCCCTTGTAGGAGGTGCGAGTCCATTCCATGACTAGTCAGCTGTGGTCCATTCCCTTGTAGGAGGTGCGAGTCCATTCCATGACTAGTCAGCTGTGGTCCATTCCCTTGTAGGAGGTGCGAGTCCATTCCATGACTAGTCAGCTGTGGTCCATTCCTTTGTAGGAGGCGTGACTCCATTCCATGACTAGTCAGCTGTGGTCCATTCCCTTGTAGGAGGTGCGAGTCCATTCCATGACTAGTCAGCTGTGGTCCACTCCCTTGTAGAAGGTGTAAGTCAATTCCATGACTAGTCAGCTGTGGTCCATTCCCTTGTAGGTGGCTCGAGTCCATTCCATGACTAGTCAGCTGTGGTCCATTCCCTTGTAGGTGGCGCGAGTCCATTCCATGACTAGTCAGCTGTGGTCCATTCCCTTGTAGGAGTCCATTCCATCATTCTTTTTTTTTGCAATGTTTCCCTCATCATGGAGTTTAGTCCACCAATGTGTAGAGATTTATGTTACCTCACGTTATTCTATGAAACACTGTTTCCAGATAAATCCGTTTTTTGTTCGAATTATTTCACACAGAAAACAACAGTGATCAGTCTCCACATACCATTTCATTATTATCTCAACACCTTTACAAGCAATGGAGATATACCATAGAAATTATATTAGATTCACAGTACAAGTAATGTAATGCGCATGCGTGAATATACAGAGGGAGGAAGGGTCGTATGTAATGTATTTTGATTAAATAATTGGTACATTGTAATACTAAATAATCTCTCAAATGAACATGATTGAATTTTTGTTTGAAAAAAAAAAAAAAAAAAAAAACAAAAAATAAAAACAAAAAATCTCTTTTAGATATCATGATATTTTAATGATAGCACATTTTATCTAATAATTAAGCAACTTTTTCATTTTCTAAAAACGAACATTTAACTATAGAACTATATTCATCTCCTATGTCTCATTTATTGTACTTTTAGCAGGCTCCTTCTTCCTTTGGTACACTATATATTTCTCCAGCTTCCATTATCGACGGGTAAACGATTGTCTCTTAATCTAAATTTGCAAAATGTCAGAACAACTTTTTTCGAGAGAATATTCACATGGATTTCGAAGCCTTGTTTATCCTTAAGCCCCTATAAATGGTTGGTTTTGGAGAGTTTCGGCATATTTCCACCAAGAATTGTTTAAATTGATAAATTAATGTCAGTTTTAGTTTGGAAAGAAACCATATGATATTAATAGGATTTGATTTAATAGTAGATAGGAAAGTCCACGATTGTTCAATATACTTTTAATGCACCCGTCCGTGCAATTGAACCATCACCTTGTTTACAATATATGATACTTTATATAATAAATTTTACCCTCTTTAGTGAAATTTATTAATAGATTTATCAATCTGGTTTTAATTGATGTCCACCGAGCTCTCCATATCCCATATAATCAGGAGTAGAGAATTTCAGATGACGTAACACGTTAAATTGACTCTATTTGCTACAGTGTTATTAGAACACCCCCTCCCCCTCCAGCCCTCCATCTTATCTTATGTATCGAGGTAAAGAAGAAGTGTAACGAAATTCAAAATAAACAGAACGAAATCTGTTGTACATGTATATCAGTAGTGATCCTGATGATCCAATGTTGTGTAATTCTAGAGGAAAGTACATGTATGTAATACTAACGATGTCACAATCACCTTTATAATAAAGGGGACACTGACTTATCTTATTTCACTGACTGTATAACACACAGATAGGCCTGACGTGTAAAATCAAGGTCAGCACCACTGGTTATTTATTCTGCATCCGTCTTTATAGGGAGTGACGACTTCAGTTTATCAAGCTGGTGTAAATCTGTCTCCCTAACGGTTCTATATTGAGTGTGAGTTATATCTGTCACCCTAACGGTCCTATATTGAGTGTGAGTTATATCTGTCTCCCTAACGGTTCTATATTGAGTGTGAGTTATATCTGTCCTATATTGAGTGTGAGTTGTATCTGTCATCCTAACGGTCCTATATTGAGTGTGAGTTATATCTGTCCTATATTGAGTGTGAGTTGTATCTGTCACCCTAACGGTCCTATATTGAGTGTGAGTTATATATGTCACCCTAACGGTCCTATATTGAGTGTGAGTTATATCTGTCCTATATGGAGTGTGAGCTTTGTAAGTAAACACACCAGGTGTACGGTGATAAGTTAGGTGTAAGACGGATGCTGTGGTGGGCCGTCCTCTTATGAAATCGAGTACCACTTACGCTGAAGGGATCGTCAACGGCCGGTTTATCACCATGGCGTGTGTTCATTACTTTTATGCTAATAATAAAATTTCTCAATTTGCACCGTTTGACCGCACTTAAAAGTTGCTGAAAATGCCCGCGTTTTTGCTAACAGTGTTTTGAAATAACTGACGCCATGCATGACGATATTTACAACATACAATTATGTATAAATAAATAAAATTCATTGTCTTAACTTCATTGTCAACGATACAAATGGATAGCACTTAACTAATATAACCTTTGAGACTAACAGTTCACCACCTGTAATCTCAGAAGATTTTACGAAGGACACATATGTGAAAAGTACTTCTCATTACAAATTTATGATTCAATGCAGTTGTGCAAAACAATGAATTAATTTGCGTCGTACGACAGTTTTGTCCTTCTAGGACTCAGTGATACTAACGACCTAAAGTCTGACATATAGGGAATGAATGATGATGGACCAAAGATTTATATAAACATTTTATAATCTAGACAAGGAGGTCCGCTATCCCCATAATTTACCGATCTCGTACTTGTTTTAGATATATGATGATACGTGTAAATAACGTGACGCACACGTGTGTGTTCTGAACGTGACATGTTTTAAATGAATGAAAATGTAACATGCAGGTTATGGCTAATTGACTATCATTGACTTAACTAAAATCTCAATGTCTGACGTAACGGCGAGCTAAATGTGTTTTCTTTTTTGATTGCATCAGAACATTACGATAAAATCATTAATACTATTTGATCATTCAACCTCGTGATAAAGATTTAAGAAAATGTTTTAAGGACGTGTTGTATTTTGCTTGCGGATATACAGTATAATGGGATTTTACATTACTGCATATTTTGATTGATTTTAAATTTCAACCATGTTTTTAAACTCGGCGTGTTTATATTTTTATTCATTTATTAGTTGGTAATATAAACATGAACAAAAATGTTTTAATTTTGTTTTTCAGTCAATTAATGAAAAGGTGAAACATATTCTAGCAAGCAAAAAATTAACAGCTTACATGGTATGAAGGTATTTTTTTTTTTGCCAAAAACGGTTCATATTTGCGACGAATAAACCCCACGATTTCATGAAGTCAGGAAATGCAGTGTTCATCATATGTTTATAATCAAACATATATTTTGAGACGACGACGACAACAGTATTGATAAATAAATAGCACCGACGGTGTCAACAACATTTGGAATATTAATAACGAAGGTTTTTCGTAATTGAAACAACTGTTAACGTTCAATGGGGCGCCCAACAGAGCGGTCATCCATCATTCTTCTGACCTCATTCGCTGTCACTTGACCTTTTTAAACTGGACACGACAATCGACTTTATGGCCTCAAAATATCTATTGAATCATGCAACTCAAATGATAGTATTTATAAGCAATCATCGTGTGGCATTATTCTACATTGTTTACACTGCAGTATCGTTCGTCTGCCATGGTCTGCCATTTTGTTAAGAACTTAAGAACAAAGGCCGATAACTCATACCCTCTTTAAATAGGACCTTCGAATGGGGGCAACTCAAAGTGA